TGACATGTGGGGTGGTAGGTGGTGGTTATAGAGGATGGTGGGTGGTGGTGGCTGGTGTGGGTGATGGGTGGTGGAGACGGGTTGTGGTGATATGTGGTGGTGGTGGGTGGGTGGTGGTGCAGATTTCCTTGTACTCATAGAGATATAAATTTGGATCTATAACTTTCATTCATTGTACTCTTAGAGAGAAAAGGAACATTGAGTCTGATAACCTCATTAAATCTTTAACAAGAATTTAGAATTTGAAAAGGGGGAAAGTAGATCTGAAAAGATTTCTAGAGAGAGAAAACATATATGAGCTCAAATCTGAGAATAAAACAAGAATTTCTTCTTGTACTCCACTTTTCAAACACAAATCAAGAATAGATCTAGAGAAATAACATCTAGAGAACAACAAATCTGAACATATACTTCGAATCCATATTCTATTTTCCAAATACAAGAGAGATTTCACTTCCACTTCGGAAAACTTACAAAACTTAAAGAACGGAGTGAGATTCGTGAAAAAAATTCATCATTTATGATCGTTTCTTGTAATAATCGCTTAGATCTACAAGATTAAGCTTTGATACAAACTATGAGTCCAAAACGAAATAACATGTGTGGAATAAGAATCACAATGATGAATCAATCACATAAAATGAGTTGCAAGTTCTTGTATTATTGTTTGAGAATGGGAATATACAAATAACATGTGATGGGATGTACCCAAATTACTCCACCTTTATTAGGGGTATACACGGTAACTCGAACTGAAAAGGCAAAGTTGTGTACAAATATATAGGAGTCTGCTAGAAACTATGAGTCCAAAACGAAATAACATGTGTGGAATAAGAATCAGAATGATGAATCAATCACATAAAATGAGTTGCAAGTTCTTGTATTATTGTTTGAGAATGGGAATATACAAATAACATGTGATGGGATGTACCCAAATTACTCCACCTTTATTAGGGGTATACACGGTAACTCGAACTAAAAAGGCAAAGTTGTGTACAAAAATATATGAATCTGCTAGAAATGATATAGAGAGCACATTTGGAGTCCTCGGGAAGACATGACATGTAGTGAAACACATTGCATGAATCTAGGATATAGAAAGAATAAAATGAATAATATATGCATGTATTATAATGCATAATATGATAACTGAAAATGAAGGTCGAACGATTTGCACGTATGATGAGAATGACATAGGTAACTTGAAGCAAGTGTTCATAGCCGGTTCGACTTTTTAGCAAGAGTAGTTAAAATTAATAATAGTTAAACGTGTTTTACCCTTCGAGAAGACATAGCCGAGCATTTGTACCAAAACAACATAAAGGAAGAGTGGTTTTTTTATATATTTTTTTTTGACTTTTTCTTAAATCTCGTCTTTTTTGTATTAATGTATTGTTTTTTAAATGAATGGAAAATAGTTTTAAAAAATCTATGTTTTTTTGTTGTATTTTTCATATAAATTTAAATAAAAAATGATGTAGAGTGGTGTTTTATGCCAAGTGGTTATTGTCACAGTTACTAGCTGTATTAGAGTCTTCATATTTATATAAGTATTTGTTGTTTCCAAAAAAAAAAAAAATCCCAAGTTGTTAAAGGTTGGATGTGATGATGAGGTGGCACCAACCACATTGGTGGTTAGAGGTGAGTATAATGGACTAAATGCATAGATGCAACTAGAAGTTATTTTGTTTATCCATCTAGAAGCTTTACACTTAGAAATATTTGCAATTTGTAGAAGTGACATAATTTTTGTAAAATATGCACTGAAAAAGCCATTTTGAAACAGAAGTAATTCATATTTTTTTTTTTTTTGAAGTCGGGAGATAGATGGCCATTTTGTAATGAAGTTGAAAATATGATATTTGGGTGTTGTTCACTTGCCTCTTTTTTTTTTTTTTTTTTTTTGTTTTTTTTTTGCTAACAAAATTTTAAATCTCCAGATTTTCCCCGGTTCACACGTCCAATGAATTCACAAGGTTCATTTATTTTTTTTAGATAAATTTGAAGGACCGGTACTGGAAGTCTTCTCCATTGACCCATTAATATAGTGTGGACCATGAACATTAATATATGAAGTAAAACACAGTCCATTTTGCTGTGTCATTGGTCTACCTACCCTTTCACATAAAGACAGTTGGCTACTGAAAGATGGAAATTTCTGTTGACAAAGACTATCATGGCAACTTTTTCCATCAGAAGTTTCAGTTTATGAAGTTATATTTTGTCTTTTCTAAAATTAGTCTGGCCTGTAATTTAAAACAGTATTACCAAAACCAATTTAATTTCGAAAACAAATATACACAATTTGATCAATCTGATGTAAAACATGTCACTATCTCCATTTACCCATTCACACAGTTTCGACATGACAATCATCTATATATAGTCATCAGTTACAAACGGATTTATAAAGTAAAACATTCCTTGAGTGAAACTTCTATTAACATTAATCAGAAAACAGAAATAAATGTCTATATAACCAAGGTAAGTTATATAACTACACTCTTAAATACAACAATAACATATAATATTGTTCTTTTTTTGTAATCCTAGCACCTTGGTAAATTTCGGGTTACAAGGAGTTTCATTGCTCTAAGAAAAAGGATTAATATCTTGACAGATACAATTCAAAGTGTGACGACTCTGGTGGATGGTTGGTACTGCTCTCAAGACTACTACGAAGGCTTATATTGGGCGTCTTAGGAACCAAGAGGTGTTTGATAGCAAGCCAATTGTTGTTCACTCTATTGTGTCTGATATTAAATCTTTTGCTTTCACATAGATTAAGTGTAGAACCAAATTAGGGTCTAGAGAACTGGTGTATCAATCATATGTTGGATTTCTTGTAATTTTCCTAGCTTCTTGCTAGATGCTTTCTCTATAATGTCTTGTTGTTAAAAAAGAGATATAATTCAAAGTGTAATACACTCCTTTGTGGAAAAATATGACACTGAATTCTAACGTAAAAGACACTTCTTGTGTAAAAATATCACAATGCCCAAAATTCCTTTTTGAGTACGTAAAAGAAAAGCAAACAAGATAAAAAGGTAGCTCAAGTATAAATTACAATAAATTGGTAGACACAGACCATCCTTTTTTATAAAGCAACATGGCAAAGCAAATAACGTACTCCTCAAACTTTTTATTTTGCTCCCTAGCTCTACTAATTGTCACACTATCCCTTATACCAAATTTCGCTTCTGCTACTTCAGAGGAAGCCAATGCTCTTCTTAAATGGAAAGTAGGCCTTGAAATCCCAAAAAACTCCTTGCTCTCTTCATGGATTACTCTCCCTATGAATTCCAGTGCATCAGTTCCATGCACTTCTTGGTTTGGAGTACTTTGCAATGTTGGTGGGAGCATTCAAAGGTTGAACCTCAGTTCATCCGGCTTAAAAGGTACACTCCATCGATTTTCATTCTCTTTGCTACACAATCTTACACATTTTGATCTCGGCGTGAACAGCTTCTTTGGCCCCATCCCATCAGAAATCCGACTCCTGAACAAACTTGTATATCTTGATTTTTCATTGAATAAGTTTTCTGGAGTAATTCCCCCTGAAATAGGAAATCTGCACCAGCTAAAAATCTTGTATCTATACTCAAACAATATATCCGGCTCCATTCCTTCATCATTGGGTGATTTGACATCTTTGAATCTCCTTTATTTACACCACAATCAACTCTCTGGTCACATTCCTAATGAACTTGGGAAGTTGAAGTCTCTTACTGGACTTTCCATGAGCTACAATCAACTTAGTGGTTCTATTCCTTTATCTCTAGCAAACCTTAGTAGCCTACAACTTTTGTACCTAAGTCAAAATAAATTATCTGGTCCCATTCCTACAGAACTTGGGAACTTGAAGTCTCTCATTGATCTGCAGCTGAGCAACAATAAGCTTAGTGGTTCTATTCCTTCGTCGTTGGGTGATTTGACATCTTTGAATGTCCTTTATTTGGACGAAAATCAACTCTCTGGTCCCATTCCTATTGAACTTGGGAATATGAAGTCTCTCATTCAACTTGTGATGAACGAAAATCAAGTTAGTGGTTCCATTCCTTCATCATTGGGTGATTTGATATCTTTGAATCTCCTTTATTTGTACCACAATCAACTCTCCGGTCGTATTCCTACTGAACTTGGGAATTTGAAATCTCTCATTGATCTTCAGTTGAGTGACAATCAGCTTAGTGGTTGTCTTCCTTCATCACTGGGAGATTTGACATCTTTGAATCTCCTTTATTTGGACCAAAATCAACTCTCTGGTCCCATTCCTATTGAACTTGGAAATTTGAAGTCTCTCACTAGTCTTGCGGTGAGTGACAATCAACTTAATGGGTCTATTCCTCCATCTCTTGCAAACCTTGGGAATCTACAGATTCTGTACCTTCGTGCGAACAAATTATCTGGTTCGATTCCTCAAGGATTGGGAAATTTGGAATTGTTCGAGCTACAAATGGACACAAATCAATTGTCCGGCCATTTGCCTGAAGGTTTGTGCCATGGAGGAAAGCTTCAACTTTTTTCGGTAAATAATAATCAACTCAGTGGGTCTATTTCAAGAGGATTACAGAATTGCCCTAGCTTAATTAGAGCTCTTTTTAATCAAAATCAATTCAGTGGAGATATATCGAGTAGCTTTGGGGTCTATCCAAGCTTAGATTACCTTGATATCAGCCACAATAATTTTCACGGGCAGCTTTCTCAGAACTGGAGTAAATGCAAGAATTTGACATCCTTAGTGATGGGATCTAACAACATCAATGGTAGCTTACCACCAGAGTTTGGAAATTTAAGACAACTACGAAGACTTGATCTATCTTCAAATCATTTGGTTAGTGAGATTCCAAAGGAGTTTGGGAAGATGAAAAGCATGTTGAATTTATCCTTGGCTAATAACCAACTTTCAGGTACTATACCTGTAGAGTTTGCATCCTATGAACTTGTTGAAGTACTGGATCTATCCACAAACAGATTGAATGGGTCGATACCAAGAAGTATTGGTCGGTGGGCACAAATCCACTACTTGAATCTTAGTAATAACAAGCTCAATGAGAACATTCCACCGGAGATTGGTAAATTGGTTCATCTTACAAAACTTGATTTATCTCAGAATTTGCTCACGAAAGAAATACCAATTGAAGTTTTAAGTTTGAAAAGTTTACAAAAATTGGATCTTTCTCACAATAGATTATCTGGTCCTATTCCTGATGCTTTTACAAGTTTGCCACGCGGGATTGATATCAACCTTTCTTACAATGAGCTCTCCGGTCCGGTTCCCCAAAGCCCCAATTTCGTGAATGCATCTGTAGAAGGCAATCCAGGTTTGTGTGGAAATGTTACAGGAGTGAAACTTTGTGCAATTCAAATTATGAAGAAGAAACACACTCCCTTTCACCATAGGCTAATCCTTGTAATTATGCTCCCTCTTATCGGGGTATTTTTATTTGGTTCATTCACGTATGGTTTCATTGCTTATCACCAACAAAAGAAAAAGTCTCTACAGAAACCATTGGAAGAAGAAACTGGTGATTATTTCTCCATTACAAATTTTGATGGCAAAGTAGTGTACGATGATATCCTCAAGGCAACAAATGATTTCGATGAAGCTTATTGTATTGGGACTGGAGGGTATGGTACCGTGTACAAAGCTGAGATACAACCTAACAATGTGGTAGCTGTCAAGAAGCTTCACCCATCATCATCTGAGAATGTTGATCATAATGGATTCCTTAATGAGATTCGAGCATTAACAAACATAAGGCATAGAAACATAGTGAAACTCTATGGATATTGCTCCCATCCCCGTCACTCATTTTTGATTTATGAATACCTTGAAATGGGAAGCCTTGGATCAATCTTAAGAAGCGATGTCTTAGCAAAAGAATTGGATTGGTTGAAAAGGGTCAATATTGTAAAGGCTGTAGCTAATGGTTTGGCTTATATGCATCACGACTGCTCACCTCCTATAATTCATAGAGACATTTCCATTGCCAACATCCTTCTTGATTCCGATTATGAGGCACATATTTCTGATTTTGGCACATCCAAGCTTTTAAAGCTAGACTCATCCAACTGGACCGCAATTGCAGGAACCTATGGTTATATCGCGCCAGGTAACATAATTTTGTGATGTTAGCTCCACATTTTCTTAAGTTACATAATATATTAATAAGTATATGTTCATATACGTATCTATGTTTGAATCTTGTGAGGTTAATATAGCTTTTTTTTTATCTCATGTTTTTTTTTTGGATGTAGAGCTCGCTTATACGATGGTGCCAACTGAGAAATGCGATGTGTATAGCTTTGGGATCGTTGCATTAGAAGTGATCATGGGAAAGCATCCCGGTGAACTACCAACGTTGTCTGTTGATTATCTGGTGTTAGCAAATGTTGGAGATAGTCGGATTCCACTTCCTTCACCACAAGTTGAGAAACAAGTAAATTTGGCGCTCAATCTCGCAAGAGCATGTTTGAACTCAAATCCAAAAGAAAGGCCAACAATGCGCCAAGTTTCAAATCTGTTGATGAAGGCCTGATAATAGTGTACTTTCAATGTTCTTTCTTTTGTCATGTTCTCTATATGCATCCTGATAATATGTATTGATTTGAATGCCTACTTGTTATGAAACTTCTCATATGATTTCTTAAATCTTTATGTACTAGATAAACAAATAAGTTAGTGAAGAATGCTATCTTTTTAGAAGCTTCATTTCTGGAAAATCAAGTATTAGTGAAGGACAAATCTGTCACTTAATACTCTTCATGACTGATTAGCTACACAGAAGTTGTCTGTAATTTAGCAACGAACTTTCACTTGCTTTATTTTCAAGTGAATTTTACCAACAAGCTTTTCCAATAATTGTAACAAGTAGCAAAAATAACAATGGTAGATTAATTACAAATGATAAATTATTTCTACAGTTTATGTCAAATAAATAACGACTGAAATGCAAAAACCAATAGAGTTTTAAACAATATACAGAGAACATTCCCAGTTTGTGTAAGTTGCAATTCATCTTAATTCAAAATACAATATTCCCATCAATTGCATGTTGGTGTTGGGAGGCAATCGGTTAGGTGTGCGACAATGAGTGGGGTTTTTTAGTAAGAGATGTGGGATAATTAGTTACCCTGAAAAAGTTTCAACAAAACTAAAAAAAAAGTTAAAATTAAAATATTTGAAAAGTCTCTTGTGTTTTTTTTCTATTTACTATGGCCAACGACTCATGGGATTTGACAATGGTTTTTCATCATTCTTCTAATCTCCTACTTTGGCATAATATAATTTTGATGCTATATACCCCCTATGCTACATAACTCATTCATATATACAAATTTTGTATTAGAAAATAGATATTTATATTTTACATTATAGGTAAAATTTGTCTTTACAGAGATGACAACTTTTAAATATTAACAAGTTTTGCATCTTAAAGCAATTTACATGCAATCGGCTGTTAATTGGAATGGAAGATGTGCTACTAGAAAACCAAACACAGTACCTTTAGTCTCTGCATACTTTCTTTGTCTGAGTTCAAACATGACACTTTTTTTTATACATAAAATCAATTAATGTTATATCCATATCCTGCCATATCATGTTGAAGTGTTTTTATAATTATTCAAGTTATATAATATTCGAATATTCTAAAGTAGAAGATTGAGATTGCGATTATGAGTTCTAGCATTCAAAATTCAGAAGAATCAACATCAAAAGTTGCCCACTAAACATCTCATTATCATATAGCCATTAATGCACTAAGCAAGGTTTTGGTTCATTCATTTACACCTATTTCTGGATAATGCAATATATATTCTCAATATTTGTATGCGAATCTCTATGTTTATTGGGGTCCATGAGCCTCTTGTGAGCTGCCATTGGCCTAATCTCAAACAGATTGGCAATTAGCAGGATCTATTTCTTTCGTAATCATTTACTTGAAAAATACAATGTATAAGTGCTATATATCATCTTAGTTTCATGGATATTCAATAGATCATGAAAGAAATTGCAAATTGTTTGATTTATGAAAATTGTTAGTGTGATCGAACTAAAACAGGGGTTCTCCACATGGATGAGCATAAAAAAAAAGAACAATTAAAGACATGATATTTAATGTTGAGCACTTTTTTATGCAAAGATATCATAAGAAAACTAACTAGCTATACTAACTATTAAAGCAAATATCAGAGTATAAAATTGAGAAGATTGTAATTGATTCACGTTATAAGATCTAGTAGGGTACAATATATATAGACTTTGATATTACACTTAAGTACCCTAAACTTAGTCTAAATATAATTGATAGTCTAACATTCCCCCGCAAGCTGAGGACGGGAAACGACCTGACTTGGATCGTAAAAACATAAATCTTTGTGTTGAAAGGGGTTTTGTAAAGATATCTGCAATCTGATCTTTTGTAGATATGAATTGGACGTTTAGTTTGCCACGCTTAACCTTCTCTCTGACAAAGTGAAAATCCACTTCAACATGTTTGGTACGAGCATGAAATACAGGATTTGCAGAGAGATATGTAGCACCTAAGTTATCACACCAGAGTATGGGGGCCGTCTTGGTGGAGATGTCGAGTTCGTTTAGAAGAGCTTCAAGCCATGTGAGTTCTGCAACAGTATCAGCAAGAGCCTTGTACTCCTCCGATTCAGTAGAAGATCGGGAAACGGTGCGTTGTTTTCTTGCGGTCCATGAGATAAGATTAGAGCCCAAATAGATAGCATATCCCCCGGTGGACCGACGGTCATCTGGATCCCCTGCCCAGTCAGCATCAGAGTAGGCTTCAAGAGGAGAAACCACATTTTGCCGAGATGCATCAGTAAAAGCTTGAAGTGAGGATCCGGAGTTATGGCAAATAAAGAGACCAAGATTTGACGTTCCCTTCAAATACCGTAGAATCCGTTTTACAGCAGACCAGTGAGTTTCTGTTGGTGCATGCATGAACTGACAGACTTTGTTCACAGCAAAGGTGATGTCTGGTCTTGAAAGAGTGACATATTGAAGAGCTCCAACAGTTTGACGGTATGGTGCCGGATCAGAGAGTAGGGGGCTGTCAGCTAGGCTGAATGGTTGAGAGGTGCTCATGGGAGAAGACACTGGTTTGTAGTTAGTCATACCAGATTTCTGCAACAGTTCTACGATGTATTTTCGTTGAGAGAGCAGAATATTCTTTCCAATGGGCACTATTTCAATGCCGAGAAAGTAAGTGAGATTGCTAAGATCTTTGACTGCAAATGAAGTACTGAGCTTGTGGATTACGTGATGAATAGCTGTAGGGTTGTTGCCAGTGACTATAATATCGTCAACATAAACCAGAACATAAAGAAGAGTGCCCCGATCTTGAAAAATAAAGAGTGAGGGGTCAGTTTTAGACCCCCTGAAGCCCAGTTGTTGTAGGGCTGTAGATAACCAATGAAACCAGGCTCTAGGCGCCTGTTTGAGACCATAAAGAGACTTATGGAGCTTGCATACATGAGTGGGTTTATCTGGATCAACAAAAACCTGTGGCTGACAGATATACACAGTTTCATTTAGGTCACCGTGTAGAAAGGCGTTTTGAATATCTAATTGCCTGAGAGACGACCCATTAGTGATGGCAAGGGAGAGAATCACACGAATGGTGGTGGTCTTGACAACCGGGCTAAAGGTTTCATGAAAATCAATACCCTGTTGTTGTTTAAAACCCTTGGAAACGAGACGGGCCTTATAGCGAGTGATTTTGCCATCTTGGTCTCGTTTTACTCGATATACCCACTTGCAATCGATGATATTAGCATTTTTGACAGGTGGTACCAATGACCAGGTACCATTTTTGACAAGTGCCTAGAACTCTTCAGCCATGGCAAGACGCCATTCAAGGGATTGATTGGCGGCTATAAACGAAGTGGGTTCAAGGATTGGTGGAGAGGATGAGACCGTGTGAAAGGCAGCTGAAGTATAACGTTGGTTGGGCTTGGGGTTTGGCCGAAGGTTAGGCGGCCGAGAGTGAGGAGGCGGCGGTGGAGGTGAGGGTGGTGGTGTTGGGTCGGAAGGGGCGTTAGGTGAGGTTGGAGGATTGTTTTGGAGTGAGGGAGAAGGGGTGAAGTTAGCTGGTGGGGAATTTGGTGGTGTAGGATGGTCAGGTGAAGATGGGTAGTTTATTGGTGTTGGGTAAGTTGAGGTATAAGGATTGGTTTAGTAGTAGTGGGTGGGTGAGGGGTAGGTTGAAAAGGAAAAACATCTTCATTGAACCGTACATGACGAGCGATTTAGACTCGTTCGGTAGCGAGATCCAAGCACTGGTATCCATGGTGAGTTGGACTGTAGCCCAAAAATACACATGGTGTGGACCGAAAATCCATTTTGTGTTGATTGTACGGTCTTAGGTATGGGAAACATTGACATCCAAAAGCATGTAGAAAATTGTAGTCTGGTTGTTTCTTGAAGATGATCTCAAATGGAGATTTGTTGGAGGAGATACGAGATGGCATGCGGTTGATAAAATACATTGTTGTTTCAAATGCGAACTGCCAAAATCGTTGTGGAACATAAGAGTGAGCAAGGAGTGTAAGGCCCGTTTCAACAACATGTCGATGTCGACGTTCGACAATACCGTTTTGTTCACTTGTATGTGGACAAGAACGTCGATGTATGATGCCAAGAGATGAAAAGAAAGGGGAAAGGTTGCGAAATCCCCCCCCCCCCAATCAGTTTGAACAGCTTTGAGTTTAGTGTCAAACTGTCGTTCAACCATTGTGACAAAAAGTTTGAATGTGGAATACACATCAGATTTATTATCTAATGGAAAAATCCATATGTAGCGGGAATAGTGATCAACACAAAGCAAGAAGAAACGAAATCCATCAAAAGATAGTTGTGGTGTAGGCCCCCAAACATCACAATAAACTAAATCCAAAATATTATTGCTACGAAAATTTGAATCATGTAAATGAAGTTTAGAAGATTTTCCCAACTGACACGAACTACAAAAGAAATGTTTTGTGGAAACCGGTAAAGAACAAGCATTAACAATGGATTTAAAGACGCGTTGATGAGGGTGTCCAAGTCGCTGATGCCACACAGTGGAAGATGCTCGAATGGCTGAAAAAGCAATCTTGGGAATGACTTTGAGTTGTGGCAGACAAATGGAGTAGAGACCATGCTTACTTGGGCCCGTAAGGAGACTGGTTTTGGTAATTTCGTCCTTCACAACAAAAAAAGAAGAATGAAATTCAAAAAAGATGTTATTTTCAAGACAAAATTTTTGGACAGAAAGTAAATTCTTTTTGATTGTTGGAACATGAAGAATATTTGAGAGGGTAAAGGTTTTGTGTGGTGAAGAGACCTTGGACGAGCCAATGTGAAAGATTGGAAGAGCCTTACCATCACCGACATGAATAGAATCTGAACCATAGTATGCTTCTGGGTTGTCAAGATTTGACAAATTTGGTGTGACATGGCTGTTTGCTATTAGGAAACCAAGATGCAGCTGAGGTTGAGCCAGTGTCCGAGAAGGCTGTGAAATTTGCTTGTGAGGGGGTAGAACGGTTGGTTTGCTGATTTGGACATTGTGAAGGAATGTGCCCAATGCCACATCGATTGCAGTGTCCTGTATTTTGAGTGGAAGCCCATGCAAATTGTGAACGGTTATTGGGTCCTCGACTGTCATCACGACCACGGTTGGAGTGGCTGCGAG